CTTCTTCTGATCAATGGCAGGTTTCCTGGTCCAGGAGAAGTCATAATTCTGTTTTGCCATCGACAATAGGTCCTTCAAATAGTAGTAATACTACTAATAGGTGATGGCGATCCGGTATGTCTAGCCCCTCCGCGACTTGCCGAGCACATGTGTGTGTGTGGAGCAGTACTGTCTTTGGATCACGCAGCGACGTGTCCTACAGGGGGTTATCCCACCCTGAGGCACAACGCGCTGCGTGATCTTCTGGCTGATGCCATGGGCGCTGCTCTACCGGATGTCCGGATTGAGCCTCTCCTTCTGCCGCTGGAGGGTGAGTTGCTCTCTGGAGCCTCGGCCAATAGAAGAGACGAAGCCAGGTTGGGCATCTGTGCAAGAGGTTTCTGGTCTCGACAGTAGGATGCATTTTTTGGTGTTAGGCCTTCAGCATCCGTGTTGTCGAGGGGGAAACTTCTTGCACAGATGTCTAAGAATGATAGCCAGAAGAAGAGAGCATATCTGCAGCGTCTAGTGAATGTTGAGAGAGGTGGATTCACACCTTTGGTCTTCAGTACCAATGGCCTGTGTGGACGCGAATATCTGCGGGCTTTAAGAGAATTTGGTCGGCTTGATTGTCATGCTTCATCCTGGCTTGCAGTATTCATTGGTCATGAATGCAAGATCTCTTTCGTTTTGGTCAGGCGGTTCGTCACCTGTTTCCGCGGTTGCCGGGCCTCATATTTGCGTAGGCGACCCGGGGCTTTGTCATTTCTGGATGAGTGCCGTCTACGGTCTTTGTAGACGCACCTTCCGGTTAATATCGACCTACAAGGGGAAGTTCAGGCAAAAATTAAAATTTCACCAGTTATAGTCTTCGGGGTGCTGAGTCGAATGGTCTTGATCCGAGAAAGCTGAGACCCTCCCTTCCTACTTGAATCCCAATCGAACTCGCGCACTTCCACCGAAACTGGGTGACTGCGCCCTACGAGATGGGGATTTGTATGCAAAATGTCACTAAAAGCGCCATTTCGTTCTTATAAAAGCACGGATGACCGCAATTGGCCCATATGTTGTAGTCTTTTGGACGCTGAGTCGACTGGTTTCGGTCCGAAAAGGCTGCGATGCAGCGTTCACCCCTAATTCCCAATCGAACATGGTTGAACAAGCGGTCACGTGCTCCTGCGTACACCAGTCACCTGGTCACCGTTCCTGCAGGGTACAACTTACAGCCTGTTTTGACCTTTTTTGGGTGCAGTCCTGTCACTCGAGTTGAACCTTGGTGTGAAAGTTGTCGCCTGCTGGCGTGGTGACCAGGTGATTTTGGCACCCAGGAGCACGTGACCGCTTCTTCAACCATGTTCGATTGGGAATAAAGGAGGAACGCTGCATCGCAGCCTTTTCGGACCAAAACCAGTCGACTCAGCGTCCAAAAGACTACAACATGTGGGCCAATCGTGGTCATCCGTGCTTTTATAAGAACGAAATGGCGCTTTTAGTGACATTTTGCATACAAATCCCCATCTCGTAGGGCGCAGTCACCCAGTTTCGGTGGAAGTGCGCAAGTTCGATTGGGATTCAAGTAGGAAGGGAGCGTCTCCGCTTTCTCGGACCACGACCATTCGACTCAGCACCCCGAAGACTACAACTGGTGAAATTTTAATTTTTGCCTTAACTTCCCCTTTAACAAGTAGGGATGGTCTGGAATTTTAGCCGGCTTTCAAAGTTGCGCTATTGCAAATGATCGTCTGCTTTGATAGTAGAGACTGCTAATAATTGCCTGGGTTGACTTTGGATTTTTCTTCAATCATCTTTCCGATCACATTGTCATGGATTTTCAATAAGTTCTTTGACACTAATAGCTGTTTTCAATGTTGACCGACGAGACCACATGCACACGACGCTTGCAGACGACAGCACGAACAGACAGTTCACCACTGACTCACCAGTCACACTCCACACAGTTATAACTCCTAACACAATGGGAGGGGGCAGGGGGGGGCAGGGGCAGGGGGCAGGGGTATGTTCATGACTGTACTGCTGACACAGTGACAATAGAGAGGTGAAGTTACACGCTTTTTGCCCTTTTTCAAAACGCGGTGCAAATCTCACGTTTAATAATAGCTATGAAAAGTATGAATGCCGCAGACATCACCACGCAACATTGTAATAGGTCGCCGAGTGATATCAGGAGGCACACACAAGAAGACTGACTAATATTATGTTATTCGGCTCAATCTGCCTGAAGTTATGTATACAACTGCTCCGGCTCAATCTGCCTGGAGGGACTCGGAAAGGAATACAACTGCTCCGGCTCAATCTGCCAGGAGGGACTCTGTTCTGTTCTGTTATGTTCTCAAGAAATGAGTAAAGCATGGCAGCTTTTATAGGGCGAAAAGGAAGGAGATCATCATAGAGTCTGCATGAGCCATGAGTCATGAAAAAGGGCAAAAGTCTGTTGTGTCAGTCCAAACAGAACTTGGGAAGGCATAGCAACATTATCTAAATGTATAAGGATGAAAGAAGCAAACGGAACTTTGGAGGAGAACAGAGGCCAGGGAGGGCATTAGCAAATGGATGCAAACAGGATCTAGAAAGGGTCATGACTGTCCCGCGCATGACCTCAGTCAGGGTCAGGGAGGTACAGTACAACATGTGGGTGTAAGTACATGTGCATACAGGTGTGATGATCTAAACTAGCAAAGATATGATATGACTGTAGTATGCTATCCAGCAAGCGCAAGGGAAACACAAGTGGTGAGAAGTGATATAATAATTATCAGCTTTGCAGGCTTGTCAGCAAAGGAGTGACAAGAGTCATTCAGTGCATGTACGTGTGTACATGTGACATGATTAGAGGTCAGTACATATAGATGTAGTAGTCAGCTACAGTTCAGTACTAGCAAGGCCGGGATACTACAACATGACAATTTGTTCAAGGTTTTGTTTTGTGTGTTTCCAAAATTGATTTTCACGCTCCGATCATCAGTGGAAATACGGAACTAAAGAGATCAAGGGAAAAAACAAAGGTTAAAAATCCAAAGAAGTGTGACACATGACGGGTAACTTGTGGTAAGTATTACAAAAAGTGAGAACTAAAATAAAGTCTGAAGAGTAAGTGTGACAAACGGGCATGAACAGTGCTGTTTTTCCCTTGATCTCTTTAGTTCCGTATTTCCACTGATGATCGGAGCGTGAAAATCGATTTTGGAAAAAACCAAACCTTGAACAAATTGTCATGTTGCGTGGTGATGTCTGCGGCATTCATACTTTTCATAGCTATTACCGTACTGGCAATATATGTTGCCGCAGTGAGGCCATGAAGCGTTACATTGGCACATGTTTGCCGCACGCAGGGCGTTACATGCAAAGTCGCACAGGAGCCGTTACACAGGTTTCTATATTGCCGCAGTCCTTTTTTTTGCTATTGCCGCATCACTTTTTTGCTATTGCCGCATCATTTCTTTGCTTTTGCCGCATCATTTTTTCTTTTCCTCCACATTGAAGGCACAGAAATTCAGTTGCTATCCAACTGTTACAAACCCGACGGCAAAGGGCGACAACGATATCAATATTTGTATTTGTATTTATGGATTCTCCAAATAGAAGACTGTATATTTTAACTGTCAGAGTGATCTGTTCACAAAAAGATCATCAAAAGGAAACTGACATAGGGGAAGAGCGCTTTCACAGTTTTCAGCCTTTTTTTAAGTGCAAACTGCAATGAAAAGATCGCCGCACCCCGCCGGACGCGCGTTACGAACTCAACGAAAATTTGTCGCACTAGCCTGGTCGCGCGTTACGCCGCACCCCCCTGCGTTACGCGTTACGCGGCAACATATAATGCCAGTACGGTATTAAACTTTTATCTCCACGTAGATTATTTGTAAATCTCACGTTACGTGTAATTTTTAGAGGTTAAGTTACACGTGCGACGCGACGTAAATTTTGCCTGGCAGGATTAGTTCGCACAAAATTAATATCAAATCTTCCAACAAACTCGATAAAACTCGATAAAACTCCGGAAACTCACTCAAATTCGGTCGGGATAACCAAGCGAAACTTCCAAAACCCACGTCATGAACTTACGTGCAGGACAGTCAACTCACGTAAAACACGTCAAATTTTACGTGAGTTTTTTCACTTTTGACGTAAAAGTTCACGGACGTAAGAATATTACGTGAAACTTAACCTCTAGCTCTCTAGTCCTCCAACCCCTCACCGGCGAGCTTTTCCGATACCGGACGGCGCCCACCGAGGATCAAGCCCGTCTGGATGTGGCGGCGAGTGGCGTGTGGGGAGGACGGTTTGAACGCGTTTATCTTGATGTACGGGTGTTTAACCCTTTCGCTCCTTCAAACCGTTCCTCTTCTCTCGCTGCTCGCTACCAGAGCCATGAGCGAGAGAAGCGTCGCAGGTATGGTCAGAGGGTGCAAGAAGTTGAGCGAGCCTCCTTCGTACCTGTCGTATTCTCAGCCACAGGTGGAGCCGGTCGAGCTGCTTCCGCTCTTCTCAAGCGAATTGCTGCTCTGTCTGCAGAGAAATCCGGAGAGCCATACGCAATGGTGATGGCGTTGCTGCGTTGTCGTCTTGGTTTTGGTCTCCTGCGTGCCAGTGTTGCCTGCCTTCGTGGTGCCCGGCGGATGCGCCGCGTCAATGATCAGTCTGCTGTCCTCGCAAACGCGGAGGCTGCATTGATTTAACTTTCTTTGCAACTCCTGCAGTCTAGGTACTGAGTATCATTGTTATCTTGTGTGTGTGTGTGTGTGTGTGTGTATGTGTGTATGTGTGTATGCGTGAGTCAACAGCTTTGATAAAGTTATTGTGTTTACCCCTCTTGTTTTCTCATCATTGTGTTGCTTTTAATTTTTAATCTTGCCCGTAAAAGAGGCTGTTTTAATTAAAAAATATATATACAGTAGTACTAGTATATATAAAGTAGTTTAGTGCGGTACCAGGGAGTCGTAAAATACCGGTATTTTACGACTCCCTGGTACTGTACCTTTTGTTTTGAAGTTTTTGAAGGTTTGTAGGTTTCAAAAGTCAACGTGGTAAAAATATTGTTATTTCTGCTCCCTCATTCCCTCTCTCTCTCTCACTCCTTCCCTCTAGACTCTATCTCCCCTGGCCCTTCTCTCTCTCTCTCTTTCCCTCTAGACTCTCTTCCCTTCTCTCTCCCTCTCTCTCTACAACTCCAGCTCTTTCTCTCTGGCACGGGAATAAAATGACCAGTTCGGAAGACCAGTCTAGTGCCGTAGCGGCCGGAGCTGCAGCAGCAATGCCAGCACTTGACGCCAATGACGGTGTGCAATGCGTAGTCCCTTCGTCAGTCCAGAGTCGAGATTTGAATGAGGATGAGTTCGACGCTCGACTAGCATGTTTGGCGACCAGTGGCCACCTCACCAATGCCGAGCAATTGCAGTTGGTAGCGAGCCTGATAGCGCAGACCGTTTTCAAACCTGCGGACGTGGCGCTCTCGCGCCTGCGGGCGATCCGACCCGCCGCGGAAGCGTTCGTACGGCGCCTGACGACAGCGGAAGAGCAGCAGGCTTGGTCTCGCTATGTGCTGGCGGCGCCGGTCGAGCCGCAGTGCCGTCGCACGGCGCTGCACATATGCGCGGCCTCGGATCGCTACCAGCATGCCCTGGTGCTACTAAGGATGGGCTGGGATGTTGACACGCGCGACATCCGCGACTGGACGCCGCTGCGCACGGCGTACGTACACGGCAGCGAGCGTGTGATGCGTCTACTTTACGAGCATAGCCGTGATCGGGAATCGAGAGCGTGCATAGAGGAACACGACTTGCTACTGCAGCATGTCACTACTACTAATAGGAGTCCTTCGGCCATGGACGCAGACTCGGACAGCACTGGATCTGCGAGCAGTAGTGGTGACGTCGTGAACATCCACCGCGCCATTGTGCGCAACGACACAAGCCTAGCCCTTCGTCTCATCGAGTCGTGTACGGAAACACACGGCCACGGTGGTGGCGGTGGTGGTGGGGAGGTGCCGTCACTGGCGGGCACGGTGTATGCAGTGCACCACCCGCTGAATTTCATCGACGGCAGTGCAAGCTCGGCGTCAAGCCAGACTAGCGTCGTGGACACGGTGTCGGACGCGGGCCAGAGCGCTCTGTTCTACGCGGCCATGCTGGGACGCGGCGACGTGGTGCGGCGCCTCGTGCGCGTGCCACACGTGCAGCTGAGCAGGCAGCTGCACGGCCTGCGACTGACGGCACTCGCCGCGGCCATGTGTCGCGGCCACGAGGATGTCGTACGAGTGCTGCTGGCCGCCGGCTCCACCGCGGAGTCCGGCAACGCGGCATTGCGAGTGTCCGACATCGTGCACGGCTTTCTCTACGGCGTGTTCTCCCCGGACCCCGCGTGTCTGCGGCTGCTCTGCGAGGACGCGCGCACACATCCGTGCCGCGAGCAGGCGCTCGCCGAAGCGGCCCTGTTCACCGCCTGCTCCCTGGGCTGCCAGGGCACGGTGCGAGCATTGGTGGAAGCCGGTGTGGATGTCAACACCAACGCATGGTCATTGAATGGTAAGTCCCGGGAGAGGGGGGGGGGGGGGCAAATACTTAGTGGAAGATAATCGCTTTTCCAGCTTCATCAGTTTGGATGGAACTAATGACTAGATAGATCTTCGTCCGACAAAATGTTGCTGCATGAAATGCCTGAAGGGAACGTTTCGTAATCGAAAATACCGATAACACAATAGGGTCCTGTACATGCAACAACCAACAGGGTCTATAGGATGCTACGGTATTTCGTACTTGACGTCGATGGGCATAAGGGTTGTTCCGCGCTGGGTCTTTTGCAATGTGAGTGCACCGCTCCAGGGGTTGGATTTCAGTTCCGAGCACTATATTTTGAAGAAACGCCTCCTGTAGCCTTGTGCTCTCTTTGCCACTGTGTGAATACTCAAAGAAGAACACGAGAACTCTGCCTTGTGCTCTCTTTGCCGCTGTGTGAATACTCAAAGAAGAACACGAGAACTCTGCCTTGTGCTCTCTTTGCCGCTGTGTGAATACTCAAAGAAGAACACGAGAACTCTGCCTTGTGCTCTCTTTGCCGCTGTGTGAATACTCAAAGAAGAACACGAGAACTCTGCCTTGTGCTCTCTTTGCCGCTGTGTGAATACTCAAAGAAGAACACGAGAACTCTGCCTTGTGCTCTCTTTGCCGCTGTGTGAATACTCAAAGAAGAACACGAGAACTCTGCCTTGTGCTCTCTTTGCCGCTGTGTGAATACTCAAAGAAGAACACGAGAACTCTGCCTTGTGCTCTCTTTGCCGCTGTGTGAATACTCAAAGAAGAACACGAGAACTCTGCCTTGTGCTCTCTTTGCCGCTGTGTGAATACTCAAAGAAGAACACGAGAACTCTGCCTTGTGCTCTCTTTGCCGCTGTGTGAATACTCAAAGAAGAACACGAGAACTCTGCCTTGTGCTCTCTTTGCCGCTGTGTGAATACTCAAAGAAGAACACGAGAACTCTCTACTTTGAAGCACAGTAAAAACCTGGTTTAAGCGACCGCCCCACGGTGCAAGCAAAAGCGGTCGTTGAAGCCAGGTGGTCTTTAGAACCAGGGCCAACAGGTTCAGTGTAGAACTGCCGGTGCATGGGAAAACGGTCATTAAGAGCAGGTGGTCGCTAAAACCAGCCTCACACGCTAAAGGGGAAGTCCGGTGGAAAAATTACATTTCAGGGTCTGTAGAGTTTGGAGCGCTGTGTCGAATGATGTTTGTTCCACTTGTACACTCCGAGAAAAAGTTCTTGAGATTCTCGGTTTGAAAAACTGAGTTTGGGGGGGGGGGGTCTGCGCCATGACATCACGCTGCCGCGCCACACCCTCTGCAACGTCATAGCGTGCAGCTAGGTCAAGAGGAGTGCGTGAAAGCAATATAGTGTCAATGCTATTTCCAATGGTTTGGCGACCGATAGTAGGTGGTGCAAGCGACCCCGAAGACGTAACTCCATGTGAGAGTGAGAATGCAGCCGTGGTTGATCTTCATGAGCTTGGTCTCGGGCTGAGAACTTCGCTGTTCTGCTGAAGCGAGACACCACTGATCTGAACGTTTTAGGTCCGGGAGCTGTTCGTTGTGTTGTCACTTGTCACGGTTGTGCACTCATCGTTGTAGCACAAAATAATGAGGCAGGACTATTCCATGCAGAAAGCTAAAAAAATTCCTCCTCAAAGCACAACCACCGGCAAGTAGAAACGTACTTTCCCTGACAACTTGACTGTACATACGACTGAGACGAGCGTTATCATTAATTTTGTTTTATTATCAGCCTTTTCGTGTTGACAGGTCAGTGAGGTGCTAGTACGAATGCAACAGTAGAACAGGAAACAAAGAAAAAATACAATAATTATGAGAGTAGTAGTACATGGTTTTACTTGAAATAGATAAACCTTGTTTTGTTGACAGCATGTTGTTGGGTGTTGACAGCGTGTAACAGGGTGGAGGACCACCGTGTTCAGAAACAGTGACCTTTCTACAACCATCCACGGTTGTTGGTTGACAGCACGAAACAAGGTGGAGGACCACCGTGTTCAGAAACAGTGACCTTTCTACAACCATCCACGGTTGGTCGTAAAGACGTGAGCTCTACCAACCGTGGATGGTTGTACTTGTAGTAAGGTCACCGTTTCCGAACACGATGGTCCTCCGCCTTGGTACACGCTATCAACCAATAACATGTACTGTAAAAGCGGAAATTTTCGGAGGTGTAATATTTTCGGTATTCTCCAAAATCGGCGGTTCGGTGGAGGGAAATTTTCGGTAAACCCGCTTTCCAGGTAAGTGTTGTAGTACATGTACTTTTAGTACGTACATAACACATGTTGTTAGTTTGACAGCATGAAACAAGGTGGAGGACTCTGTGTTCGGAAACAGTGACCTCACTACACGCATTATGGTTGAGATGGTCCCAACGGACCGGGGCTCTGCCAACCGCGGAAGGTTGTAGTAAGGTCACTGTTTCCGAACACAGTGTCCTCCAACTTGTTTCATGCTGTCAATCTAACAACATGTGTGAACTATAACAAGGTTTATCTAATACATAATACTAGTAAGTGTTGGGTTATATAACACTATACATACACCGAAGGATGTACCCAGAGTGCTTGACAGTGCTCAACACCACAAAGGCAGAGCGTAATACACAACAGAACAACAAGGACAATCAAGGCTTGTTTGCTGCTACTTTAAGTTTCATGCTCACGCAATCATAACACTATACATAGCACATGTACACACATTTTCGGTGCGTTTATTTCCGGTAAAAATTGTCGGCACCGAAGCTACGGAAAATAAAACACCACCGAAATATTCTGCTTATACAGTAGTACATTGTACATGTACATGACAAGTCCATGTCTAGACAAGTCCATGTCTTGACAAGTCCATGTCTTGACAAGTCCATGTCTTGACAAGTCCATGTCTTGACAAGTCCATGTCTTGACAAGTCCATGTCTTGACAAGTCTCTTGTGTATATGTGTGCTTGTGCATGTGTGTATGCGAGTGTGTTATATGTGTATGTGTGTGTATTTGTGTGTGTGTTTGACTTTTAGGGGAAACCCCTATAATGCGAGCCATGTACCACGGTCATGCCGAGGTAGTCGAGTATCTCTCCACCTGTCCTGGCATAACCTACTCAGGAATATGCCAGCCGTATATGCGAAATGAAAGTATCCTGCATCGCGCCGTGTATGGTGGAAGTGTCTGGTGCTTAAAGAAGGTCTTGACTGAACATACAGACTCGGTTAGTGTTTGTGTATTCGGCTGTGCTAAGCTCTGTCTCGCTGTGTGTATGTGTGTGTGTCTCTCTCTCTCTCTCTCCCTCTCACACTCACCCTTTCTCTCTCTCTCTCTCTCTCTCTCTCTCTCTCTCTCTCTCTCTCTCTCTCTCTCTCTCTCTCTCTCTCTCTCTCTCTCTCTCTCTCTCTCTCTCTCTCTCTGCCTATCTCTCTCTGTCTGTCTGTCTGTCTGTCTCTCTCTCTCTCTCTCTCTCTCTCTCTCTCTCTCTCTCTCTCGCTGTCTCCCTCTCTCTCTGTCTCTCTCTCTCTCCCTGTCTGTCTGTCTGTCTCTCTCCCTCTCTCTCTCTCTCCCCCTCTCTCTCTCTCTCTCTCTCTCTCTCTCTCTCTCTCTCTCTCTCTCTCTCTCTCTCTCTCTCTCTCTCTCTCTCTCTTATTTCTTTTCTATAATTTCCCCATATGAGTTCCTATCAGTTGCTGTGAACACCTTGAGTGGAGAGCGCTTGCTCGAGCGTTGAACCGGGTTCTTAATCCACCATACCCAGTTCGCAAGGCTGGGCGGGGTTGTGAGCAGGCTTTCATTTCATCTTTTCTTATTATTTCTTATTATTTCTGCTTTTCATCTCATTACAAAAATTCTGCGCATAAAATCTAGACTGACAACTTGCTTGTTAAATCATGCACCTGCTTTCAGGCATAAAAAACCCTGTTGTAGAGGTCTCAGTCCTCATTTGTTAGACTTACCTGTCTTTATAAATGTAACTTACTCTCTCTCTCTCTCTCTCTCTCTCTCTCTCTCTCTCTCTCTCTCTTCTCTCTCTCTCTCTCTCTCTCTCTCTCTCTCTGTCTCTCTCTCTCTCTCTCTCTCTCTCTCTCTCTCTCTCTCTCTCTCTCTCTCTCTCTCTCTCTCTCTGTCTCTCTCTGCCTCTCTCTGTCTCTCTCTGTCTCTCTCTGTCTCTCTCTGTCTCTCTCTGTCTCTCTCTGTCTCTCTCTCTGTCTCTCTCTCTCTCTCTCTCTCTCTCTCTCTCTCTCTCTCTCTCTCTCTCTCTCTCTCTCTCTCTCTCTCTCTCTCTCTCTCTCTCTCTCCCCCCCATGCACCCTCTCTCGCACGCTCACGCGCGCGCGCGCGCACACACACACACACACACACACACACGCGCGCGCTCACGCACGCGGGCAAACGCTGTTGCTTGGCATACATGCAGTTTAAAATCTATTAACGTGTGTATGCGTGTGTATGCGTGTTTGTGTGTGTGTGTGTGTGTGTGTGTAAGAAAAAAAGAAAAAGACCAAAAATAGGGATTCACTGGCCAGAAAAAGTCACTTCAAATAGCTGTATGGTGTAGACCAGGCTGAATAGTGATGGCCAATTCTTCAGCCTTGCAAGCTGTTGAATGGTGCAATCCCAGCACAAGTTGCTATGGCTTCTGCCGTAGCATTGCTATCATCGCCTCCGGCGATGGGCGTCAAAGGTCAAAGGTGTGTGTGTGTGTGTGTGTGTGTGTGTGTGTGTGTGTGTGTGTGTGTGTATGTGTGACTGCATGCGTGCGTGCGTGCATACAAGAACAGTGCACACTGACGCATGCGCTTTGTAAACCAGGACCTGTGTTCGCAGCTTGAAAGTTCTTGTGTGCGAACTGCAACCTTTTGAATGGGAAGCCCAGGTCTAAATTTTTCTCTTTCCTTTCCTCATACGGCAATCGTAGCTGAGCATTGGCAGGCACGTATGCCGAGATTCTCAAAGTTAAGAGAAAGGACCTGTAAGTTACGAGGTATGACTGACAGTCCTCCAAGGTAACGAGATAATATACACTCAGATAGTGCGACAACAACTTATTACAGTAAAACCTGTCAATGTGACCACTCTCATACGGCGACCACCTGTCCCAGAAGACCACTGAAACCAGAACCGAGGGTTTGCTAATTCCAGTCGAATGACCCTGGATAGGGAGGAGACCACCTGGTAACAGAGAACACATTTTGAAGGTTCCTTGAGCGGCGGTCGTCTTAGACAGCTGTTTCACTTTACTGCCGTGGACGTGGAAATCCGGTCGCACGTCTAGCGGCCCCAGGGCGCTGGCCGTGCAGCCGTGGGTAAGCAGTACACACATGCATGACATTGCTCTGGTCGCATCGGATCAACATGTGCTGCACTGCATGCAACGACTACATTCTGTACGCGCTGAGGGCGCCGGCACCGGTCAATCGACTGGATTTCCATGTTCACGACATTTAACTTATTGGTTATTTTCGGCTATTTTCGGCCTGGTGATTGTTTGGCCGAAAATTTGTTGAGGCCGGATTTTTGTTTTGCAAGGTTCAGTGTGACAGTGTATACAGGCAGCAGCAGTACAGGCCGAAAATTTGTTGCAGCCGAAATGGGTTATAGCCCTGGAAGGCGGAAAATTAGAATGTGCCGAACATTTGTAAAAAAAATTGCATTGGCCGAACGTCCGAGTTTAAATGATTATTTTTCTATGTCCATGTTTGGACTGGACTGCACTTTCCTGTTGACGTCTGCAGGGTATCCATGACAACCATGCCGGTCTCAAGCCGTTCTCCATGGCAGCACGCTACAACCAGCGTCTTGCGCTGCGCGTCTTGCTGCAGCACGCAATGGCTGGCGAGCGGCGCCTTCTCCACGCCAGGGCCGATTGCCATGACGACGGCGGCGGAGCCGCGGGCCCACCACCGCCGTTACCGCGCCGACTGGGCGACGCCGTGATCGAGGCGCGTCGCCATGCCGACCCGGGTCTGATGGAGACGATGCTGGCGTCGTCCGTGTACCCGCTGCGGTGGTGGGCGGCTGCGGCCGTGGCGCTACGCCTGCCCACGGAATCCGACGCGGCGCTGCTGCCGCTACCGGAGACGGTGAAGGAGCAGGTGCGTGAGTTTGTGCCGTACAGTGACGGCGACGTGTCTCGTTTGGAGCACGAGCCAAGCGCTCCCCGCTGACACGACCCGTGGAAGTATTGGTATACTACAGTGTTCTTGAACGCGGTGAGAGTGTGCAGCGCACTAGCAAAACACTCCCCGCTAACTTCCCCTCAGGAAGTAATTGTATTATGTGAGAGTGTTCTTGAACGCGGTGTGAGTGTGTTCTGTGAACGGGTGCTCACTCAACAGCTTGGAGGTTGACAATGTAACGGCCAAACATTCTGTGTGATGCTTGACCTTACACTATACACCGCCGTGATCAATACCCTACTCTCGGCACTCCTTGTGGTCTTTGGTCTGCTGGTGCTCCAATGCAGCCTGTTCTATGGATACTGTGATACAGTCTGTTCTGTGGATACTCTGATGCAGTTTATTCTGTTGATGTTCTGATACAGCCTGTTGAGTGTTGTGTGGATCCTCTGATACAGCCTGTTCTCTCTTCTGTGGATACTCTGATTCAGTCTGTTCTGTGGATACTCTGATGCAGTCTGTTCTATGGATACTCTGATGCAGTCTGTTCTGTGGATACTCTGATGCAGTCTGTTCTGTGGATACTCTGATTCAGTCTGTTCTGTGGATACTCTGATACAGTCTGTTCTGTGGATACTCTGATGCAGTCTGTTCTGTGGATACTCTGATGCGGTCTGTTCTGTGGATAGTACTCTGATGCAGTCTGTTCTGTGGATACTCTGATGCAGTCTGTTCTGTGGATACTCTGATGCAGTCTGTTCTGTGGATACTCTGATGCGGTCTGTTCTGTGGATACTCTGATGCAGTTTATTCTGTTGATAATCTGTTGGTTACTATGGTCACCATGGTTACACACTTGGCATGGCCGTTGCCGCGTGACTGTTGCTCTCTGCCCTTAGCATTGTGTCGACGGGTAACTATGACAACCACACCGGAGCGGCATTGTGTCTGACAGCCGTGAGATTCTCTGCCTGCGCATTGTGTCTGACAGCCATGAGTTGAGATGTTCACGCCGAGCGCCAGTGGATATCGGCTGGCGGCCCAGAGATCTCGATGTCGTGCTACCCGTCGTATGCTCAGTATCCGATACACTGTACCTTGAGGCTTCGTGATGCACTCATCTCCTCCGAACACCCCCCCCCCTCCCCTCACTCACGCACGCGCACACCCACACACTCACACCCACATACGCACCCTCACTCACGCACGCGCTCACACACACACACACTCACACACACACACACACACACACACACACATATGCGCGCATGCATACACATACGCATGCACGCACACACAGACTTTGTTATACTACAGCACATTTAGAAATATGTTGAGCTCCGTGCTCTTTGAAAATCCGATTTACGCCACCACGATTTAGACTCCATGCTGAACTTAGGACACCTGTTACTTCTTGACTTGTGTGTGGTTTGGTGTTTGACCTGTGACTTCGTCAGTTGAGTTTTGATCAGCTGGTGGAATTCCGCAAAACTTGGCCGAAATATGTAAACTTCCAAAATTAATTTTAATTAAAAATGTCGTACAGTCATATTCTCTTTTTAAAACTCGTCGCCATTCACTGGGTGTTGTTTCTTCTGTGGTGATACAGTCATTCACTGGGTGTTGTTTCTTCTGTGGTGATACAGTCATTCACTGGGTGTTGTTTCTTCTGTGGTGATACAGTCATTCACTGGGTGTTGTTTCTTCTGTGGTGATACAGTCATTCACTGGGTGTTGTTTCTTCTGTGGTGATACAGTCATTCACTGGGTGTTGTTTCTTCTGTGGTGATACAGTCATTCACTGGGTGTTGTTTCTTCTGTGGTGATACAGTCATTCACTGGGTGCTGTTTCTTCTGTGGTGATACAGTCATTCACTGGGTGTTGTTTCTTCTGTGGTGATACAGTCATTCACTGGGTGTTGTTTCTTCTGTGGTGATACAGTCATTCCCTGGGTGTTGTTTCTTCTGTGGTGATACAGTCATTCGCTGGGTGTTGTTTCTTCTGTGGTGATACAGTCATTCACTGGGTGTTGTTTCTTCTGTGGTGATACAGTCATTCACTGGGTGTTGTTTCTTCTGTGGTGATACAGTCATTCGCTGGGTGTTGTTTCTTCTGTGGTGATACAGTCAGACCTCGCTTATCCGGTCCTCTTTTATCCGGATCCCTCGCCATCCGGAAGAAAATCGTTGGTTACCGATTCACAGCATATGCCATGCATACATACAGTATGCGTGTTTGATTACTGTATTCGGTTCCCTCGCCCATCCTGATATTTTTGTGGAAAACGGGTGTGTGCGGTTACCGGTATACGAGATCTGACTGTAACTGCCTTAAGCCCTATCCGTCAAGGCGACAAGACAAGTTTTTTGTTTGTTTTTTAAAGAAAATGGAATGGACTTTCTGATAGTTGTTGAGCATAAACTACAATGCATCCATTTACACGTGCACGACTCTCAGAAACCGTGCTGACCGCGGCTGGTCCCCGTGGTAGGGAGAAAGACCCAACGGTGCCATCAATGTGCGTGGCATGTGTTGTGAGCTCACCCCCACCGTTAGGCGCTGCATCTGCCACTAGTTAGGATTTATCGGGTGTTAGCGGCCGTCGTGAGTTCCCTTCGGGAACGGACACGATAATTTACTTGTTTACTCTTTGGAGTGAAACGAATTGTCAGCGCCTTCTAGGTTCGCCGTGGTCCCATAGCTCAGTTGATAAGAGCATTGCTCATTGAAGGGTGAGGTTGGCGTTTTTCCGGTTTTCTTGCAGTTCATTAAAATTAAAATTCCGTAAATGTACTACTGGCGACCATAATGCGTGTCCATGTACAAGTACATGTATCAGCTATTCAGTTTTGACTATTATAATACATGTACTGGACCCCCTCACCCCGCTGTAGAGATCGCTGGATCCGCCGCTGTAGAGATCGCTGGATCCGCCGCTGTAGAGATCGCTGGATCCGCCCCTGTAGAGATCGCTGGATCCGCCGCTGTAGAGATCGCTGGATCCGCCGCTGTAGAGATCGCTGGATCCGCCGCTGGATCCGCCGCTGTAGAGATCACTGGATCCGCCGCTGTAGAGATGGCTGGATCCGTCGCTGGTTCACTTCCCCTTACTGTTTAGTGTTTACCAGGCTGAATTCGAAGTTTACTCCATTTTCCCATTTTCAATCTTTGAGGAGATAATCTTAATTTCACATCGAATTTGGCGTAAAACTCCAATTTTTCGACGTGAGCTGCAGGTCACTCGCTTTGTTTTTCTACGCGTGAGCCAAATAGCTGAACTTTCCAGTCACGTCAGAAGTGCATCTTTTAACTTCTCTATTCAAATGGAAAAACGTCAATAGTGACGTGTACAAACAACTCAGGGTTACTGTTAATCAACTAATTTTCGCTGGTGATTTAACCCTTTGGGTACCAGCCCCATCTCGAACCGTACCATAATTATGGTACGGTTCGCTGCACTCCAATCAAGCACGCCGGTCCCCGCCGCCGTAGCCGATTAGGGTTTTCAAAAAAGAAATCGATCAGTAGTTGGTGCTCTCACATGCATCCATGCATCATTTGCCTCTATGACAAACTTTGGCGGGCGATTTACTTTGGCCGGTTGGCACCCAGCGGCGAAATCAGCGAAATTAATGACGGCCAAAAGTTTCATTTCGAGATCGGCCCGGTTTCTCACCGGCCAAAATTCGTTGATTAACAGTATGTCATTTTGGCCATAGTATAATTCAGTGCCCGATCAGGCGACACTCCGCCACCGGACTTGTCACTTGGCCTGCAATGACGACGTCGGTACGACGAGTTGCTTCCTCGCATACTGTAAAAGCCATATATACATGGATTATTATTATTATTATTATTAGGCCAAGTAAAAAAAAAAGCTAGATGATCGTCCCCGTCCGCCCCAGTTTTTGTCAGCGCCCCAAGAAATATTTTATTTTTTAAATCGTGAGTTTTTGCCGAAATCGTTGGTTTTTTACCGATCGCGGATGCAGGAAACATGTGCACGCGTTTTCCGTGACGAACTTACTTTGTCAAAAGTAAATTGTTGGTAGTTGCTTCGCGATGTCGAAGTTCTTGACTGTGTTCCAGCTTGACGCAGATCTGTAGAGTGAGTTGTTGTCCTCTGTTTCGAATCATCTGGTGCTGTCGTTGCGATGCCCTTCGTTCTCTTGCAAATTCGTGCTGCAACGAAAGTGTTGAAGTCGTGGTATGGCTGCGTCGTTCCTGCCGATGCAACAGTTGCTGATGCGTTCCGAGGATTCAGTGATGGGTCGCTTGACAATGGGAAGGCGTTGGAGGATGAAGCCGTCATGTCGTGCGTTCAAGCAAGTGTGGGAAATTCCAAGGACGGCAGTAAGATCAATGTCAGTCCAGAAGCGCCAGTGGGCGACACCGTCAGTGCGCTGGGTCAGTACGTCGACTTCGCTGTAACTGGACATGACAGGAATAGTGACAAGTCGACCACGGACAACGCCAGTGCAGGACGCAATGCCTTTGCCCTCATGATGGCCACATACTACTAGTATAATTACCCATATAAAAACCGCTCTGTGAGCGGTTCTGAAAAACCTCTACTGGTGCAGCCCCGTCGTAAAAGTAAGAAATTAGAACTGGCGCATTGTCCTCCCAAATGTGAACTGATCCACCTAAATCGCGATTGACGGGACCCGAACGCACCAGTAGCACGAGGTTCCTACCTGTGGATGCAGCTAGCTGGGGACGCTGGTCCATAGCCAAAGCCAAAGCGGCAAAGGTGGGCTTCGGTGTAGATCTAAGTGTTGTATGGTAACTTGATCAGCGCCGACGCCGGCTGTGATCCTGTGCCCTCCCGACCTCGTGCTACTGGTGCGTTCGGGTCCCGTCAATCGCGATTTAGGTGGATCAGTTCACATTTGGGAGGACAATGCGCCAGTTCTAATTTCTTACTTTTACGACGGGGCTGCACCAGTAGAGGTTTTTCAGAACCGCTCACAGAGCGGTTTTTATATGGGTAATTTCAGTTCTTTTTCTGTTCCCTCCCCCACCCTAGCCCAGCTCCGAAGATAAACATGGTGAGCACGCGCGCGATGCACTGTATGTAGCCATGCAACTGCAGTAGCACACTGATACATTCCAGCCCTCCCCACCTCGCTACCCCGCACACAGACACCTTGTGACAAACACGCACATGCACATGGCGCACACACACACATGGGCACGCACACACATACATACACACACACACGACCCAAACAGGAAATTCTTGATGAACATTGTATAATGCCATGCAAAGCAGTGGCCACCATACTTCAGGAAGTCAGTTGTGAAACAAAAATAATTCAACTACAATGTGTAGGTAAGCTAGCAGCCAAAGCACAACATTGCAAACCGTGATGATATTTGCCTAAGGATTGCAGTTTGCAGACCACACCATGGAAGCAGTGAATACAGAATTATTGTAATGTCATACAAAGACGAGCAAAGAAGTGGCCACCATACACCAGAAACTTGCAGAAAGTCACATATCCAACAGATAGAGAAGTGAACAGCATCTGGTACAGCCCACACAAAACCAAGCTGACCTGATACTCGTCCGAAGATCGTAAGTGGCAGATCCTTTTCAACGATAGCATGCAGGTGTACGTTACACGCATGGACAAAATCTGACCGTGTCATCGGTATACATTGTCATCACATGCATACCCCACAGGTTACACACATGCACAGTAGAAGCACAATAAAAGCAATGGAAAAATATGAAGGGGTTGCTGAAGCATCTTCACACTTCAATTTCAGACTTCGATGTGGTCGTCACGGGGTGATATACCTGCAAGATACAAGTGATACAGAAAGCAAGCATAAGGTCGTGAGGTAGGCTATGAGACACCACAAATGGGTCACCTACATGTATGTTCAGGGCTGGTGTACACACACACGCAGAATTATCATAATCGAGAATTTCCCAAACTACAGAAGAGCAATGAAATCCATTTGCATGCACAGGAGCAATTTTGCAGTATGATGCGCAGCTCGGGAATACACCTGTTGGCAATGGATTACACTCCCATTGGAATTCCCATTCACGTGGGATTCACAGAAGCAATTTGGCAGTGTGCTGCGCAATGCGACACGACCCGCGATTCTGCGTGCGATGCAAACTCGCACAAAATACCATTCACAGAATCAGGACAAGACGTCAGCGATGCAACAGCGCCTTGCTGACGTGCCTCAAGTCAAACCTCAATGAGAATGCGTTTGTCGGTTACAACTGGTACAAATGTACAAGCAATTTCTGAAAATGCTCCTGTGAATCCTGCTTTAAGCAGTGCAGGAATGTCCCTCCTCCGCAAGACCCCCCCCCCCCCCTCCACACCCTCAGGGAACTTGACAAGGAAGGGTGGTCTTCGCGGTTCCCAACATCTATTTGCAGTTTCTGGTCTCCACTATGTCTTTTCAATGGGGATTTGTACGTACCATAAAAGCAAGCCTAAAAAATGAACAGCACATTTGCCGTTCCCCCACTGGGGAGGATGCGTTCCAAAGCTATCCTGACAAGATACTCCGAGAAGCGGTGCTGAGTGCAATGCATTGTGAAACTGAAAAAGCTGACCAAGCCGCGGCATATAACGTCTAAACTTCAAATTATTGTAGTTCGCCAGCTGACTACTTTCAGACTCCATGTAGGTTGGAGTACAGCTGGCTTAGA